TTTCAGGAACGATGACATGAACCGTTTTTGTTTAGCAGAGATATCAAGAATGTTTTGAACAATGGATCACAATTACAAACAACTTCAGCTTGCTGAATGATACCATTTTGAGCTGATTGATGTGAGACTTGCGACAAAGTAACACAAATGGCGGCATCAGCCTTTCCACGTGCAAACAAACACAAACAGGAATGCAAATTCCACGTTCCAGGTCGCAAACAGATTGGACTGCAGTCTGCAGGTCCTGAGACAGCCTGTGGCCATGCGCTAAACGTGCCTAGACGGGCCAGGTTAGTCCCTGGAAATCACGAGTCAGCTCCTGTAACCGAGCTTTTTTGGAGGCGTCAGCTGCCTAGACTGTGTGGAGCCTAGGCACCTTCATGGAAAGTGGGTGCGATAACGGAAGCTTAGCTTATCGCACCCCAAGTTCCGTCATCGTTCAAGCTCTCCCCCGTCTGGTCCGTCCGTATCTCAACTTTCTTCTTCCCTTTCATCTCGTGTAATTATTACCTTTTTTATCTTTCTTGTACCATCTATTCTTATCGCTCCCATCATGTAGTCATGGGTGAATACTAGTATCTAACATTACCTACCTACATCACATTCAACATGGCTTCTTCTTCCAAAAGCTCTTTGCGCCGTAGTCATGGCGACTCATCCGGAGCCTCGTCTGGACATTCGCATCCACGATCAGCGACACAATCTCGACTTTCCACCGCGCCCTCTATCGATATCGACACTCTCGTTAACCACCTCCTCGTCGCGAAACGATCGCTTTCTTCTATGACTCTTGTTCTTCGCGCGAATGAGATCGCGAATGATGCTAGGCAGTCACATGATGATGTTTCCATCCTAGCTGCGCAGGCGGGCTTCTTACGAACGTCTATACTGGATCAGACGGCGATTCTGGTGAGAACTAGGAGGAGCTTGCAGAGCACTTATGAGTGGGGAAAGAAGGACTTTCGAAAGCTGGTCAAGTCGATGGACCTGGTCGATGGACAGCTTGATCATACTATGGAGATGCTGCGTGAGACTGGGGTTGAGAGTGTTTTTAGACCTCAGGGTGAAGAGAGACGAAGTCTTCTTGATTTTATCGATGAAGGAGGTGTGGATGGAGTGCGCGAGGCGATGAAGCAGAGCATCCAGGAGCTACAGGTAAGCTACCCAGCAAAAGACATCGCCAGTCATGCGCTGACACCGATTAGGCTATTCAGCAATCCTTCGACGGAGATCTACTCCGTTTCGATAACGACATCCGGAACCTGAAGAAAGTGGTGGCCGATACGCCCAGCATACAGGATATACCACAGGGCAATAATCCATCGGCCGGCGAGATCCTCGAGAGTCTAGTCGACCATTCAGCCAACATGGCTCAGCTCCTCGCATCGCTGAACCATCACTTCGACATGTGCGTCACCGCGATCCGAACGACCGAAGGCGGCGTAGCTCTCGCTCGCCGTAGAGCTGCCGAGGCTACACAGTCCCAAGGAAATGACGGTGTCTCCATTTCAGGCGTCATCGCCGAACAAGAGTCTAATGTGTCCGACCTCGAACCCAAAACGGCGAAAGACCGAGCTGAGATGTTAAAAGTCGTCGTGCAGGACGCACGCGAGGTCGACGACGTGGTGCAGGAGATACAAGAGCGCCTCACGGCAATGGAGCAGGATTACACAGTGCTGCAGGAACAGCACGACATCTCAAAACAGGCCTACACGGGCATGCTACAGGCATACGCTATTTTGGGCGATATCGGCGATCGACTCGCTGACTACCTCGCGGCCGAGGGAGACTTTAAAACACGATGGGACATGGAGAAAGAGAGCGTCTTTGCCAAGTTGCAAGAGATGCAGCAGCTCAAAGACTTTTACGAGCGCTACGCAAGTGCGTATGACAGTCTGATTCTCGAAGTCGAGCGCCGTCGCGCAGTAGACGATCGCGTGCGCAGCCTCTGGCGCAAAGCACAAGAGAACGTGGACAAGCTCCTCGAGACAGACCGCATGTCGCGCGAGGCGTTCCGGCAGGACGTGGGGGAGTTTCTGCCGACGGATCTGTGGGCGGGCATGCAGGGTTCTCCGAAGAAGTGGACTGTTGTGAAGGAGGGTGAGGGAGATGGAGATGGAGAGGTGCAGCCGATGAGGAGGAGTGTTGTTGAGGCTGCGAAGGAGAGACTTGCGAGGGCGGGGGAGAGACGAGGAGTGAGATAGAGTGATTGTTAGATATGTACGATTGGGATTGATAGCTGGGATGGCGTTTTGGATAGGGTGGTTATCTGGGATTGGGAATAATACTCCACATATTGCTTGCTATGAACTAGAGTTATCTGATGGTGGTTATGGTATGTTGATGAGATATAACAAGACAACGGACTGGTAGGATTTCTTACTTATCCTTTGACCAAAGGTAGCGTGATTTGATCAATGATCATTCTCATTTTCGAACGATCGACACTTGTGACGGCTCAACGGCAGCTAATCTTAGTTGCTGCTACTTGTAAGACGTTGTGTCGAGGCGTGTTGCTTTGATGCTAAACATGTTATGAGGCCCTTGTTATCTCCAACGAGCTATGCACGGGCCGTGACAAGGCTAACTAGCATAGCTTCTACGTAGATCCCGTAGACGACGGGCATCAGTCTGTGGATGGTTGTCAATCAAGGATATCAACTACAGTTCCTTGTTATTTGTTTACTTCGATGTAAGTTGTTGTGACAAAATAAATTAAGTGAGGGTTATGCTAAGATCTTAAAATGCTATGCAGTTGAGTTTCGTAAAGATCGTGATGATTTAAGATTCCGTTGCTCCATCCATGTTGCTGTCATTATTCCGGCCGTTTCTCATTACACACAAAATAACCTAAATGAAACGATTTGCGCCCTTCACTTCAACTCTTCGTTTGGACTGTTGAAACAATCTCCAGAGCTGCATGAATCAAGATCATCGGGCTTGATGGATGACAAGAACTCTGTCACTGAGCTCATGATGAAGACGTGCAAGTCCTTCTCGTCAGTAGAAACCACATCGGAGTAGATGGGCGATAGCTTGCGATAAACGTCTGAGGCGATGCTTGGGTTGATGGTGACGATGTTGCTGAGGACATCGGCGAGCATGTGCGTTGCTCGAGACATGGAGCGAGCTCCTGTTCCTCCTAGTGTAGCGACGGAGTCTTTGACTGTGTTGTGAAGCTCCTTTGTGATGAAGTAGGCATGGTTGAGGAAAGCTTGGCTATCGTCTTGAGTGAGATCAAGAGTTGGAGTCCTGTCCATGATCGAGACTGTTCGGGAGAGTGTTGCTCTAATGCTGTTCATCTTGCGAACGACTTTGTGCACAGCCTTATCCTTCGACAGTCTCTCAACCTTAGTTTCCTCCAAAACAGATTCTTTGCCGTTTGTTAGTAAGTGGAGTGACAGGAGGTATACTCGACGTACCGATGTCATCACATCTCTCCTTGATCTTCTCAGCAACACGATCTACCAAGCCAACCAAGCTCACATCCTTGCGGCTGATCGAGCGCTTGACGTGAGAAGTACGTCCTTTCTTCACTGAAGCTACAGTGACGCCAATACGCGGTGTAGCAAAGACTGGTAGACGGCGAGCTGCAAGTGTCTTTTCTCTGACGATGACTGTCTTGGACAGGGGAGTTGCCAAGACACCAGTGAAGAGCGTGACTGTGAGGAAGAGTGTCAACTTCATGATGAACAACCGAAGACGAAGCTTAGAGCGAAAAATGAGAGGGATGAAAGCAGAGCTGCCAGAGCTGATGAGATGTTGGCAAGGAGAGGGCATCACAGCCTTATACTTCCTGAGGACAAGCTTCAAGGCTTGAGCTTACACCCTATTAACGGCATGGACATGATCGACCGCCGATCTTATCCCCTTCCTACAGGGAAATATAAAGCTTAAAGCGGGAGGATCTGCAAGTTCCTGAGGTAAAACCTTAGATTGGGCTGCAGCATTCCCCCCTGCGTCTGGGGAGAAAGAAAACAGTGGGTGCTACTGACGCCAGAAACAGCAGGTTTTGAACTTGGTGGTTTTCTTTCTGGCCAAGCTTATCCCCTCGTTCAGAAAAGTTTGGCGTCAGATCAGAGAGTTTGGTGTAACCTGGTCTTGAATGCTGTGGTATTGGATGAGAAGATGGCGATCGCTGCGGACGATTGACATGGCTGAAGATCTGGGTTCTGCTGGGTATAGAGTGAGTCTGGATAGGAGAGCATGGTAGAAGCATTCAGCACCGATAAATAGTCATTACCTGTGAGTATCTGCTGTATCTTTGGTAACTCTGCTGAAGATACTCATCTCACCGTCCCCTCCCCTCCGAAAGCATCTAAGCTGACTCCGATCTCCTTTCCACTCTATCATCTGCCAAGTCCCCCACTGCCAGTGGCAGATAACCGTCTTTTCACATTCCCATCCCGATCCCAAATCACAGATCTTCAGAACTTGAACTACCGGATTAGTTCCCACCCAGCCCCGATAAGCTTCTCCCTGAGACAGCCCACATTCCTGCCCCCTTTTTCCCTACGCACCTATGATCGTTTCAGGCATTTTGTGTTCGGCCGCGTTAGTTTAAAATTGAATCATAGATCTCGGTTGTCTCGGCAGGAAGTGACCTGTCAATCAGCTGATCTAGATGAGGCTTGATATAAGATGGGCTGCCTTTGGAATGGTGGGCGGAAGGGTGGGACGGGAAGTGAGGAGCCACCCATCTGTAGTTTACAAAAGAGGTTTAGATGTCTTGGTAGACGGGAATTGGGTAGAGCTTAGCTTTGACGGGAATATGGACAAGGCGTTGTGTCGTAGATTGTGTTTTTGCGAGGCGCGGATGAGGCTGAAGACGGGCGCTGGGCTGATATCCAGCATCACTCCAAGCAGCCTCAAGTCGGGCTGCGGACCGTGATCTACTGTTGTCCTTTTCCTCCGGTGGACCTTCTGGGGAGATTTTTTTCTGGTGCTGGCCAAGTCTTGTCTGCCAAAGCAGAGCTCTTCAATCTTACCCTCAGTGTCGTCTAGTTCGTCGTCGTCTCATCACTAAAAGGTTTCCGGCCATACACAACGGTCCTAGAGATCGTCAGCAAACCCACATCCGCTCCTCTAATAAGGACCCAACTCACGTCTCAACCCATGCACATTTACTCTTATCCTTCATCTCCTTACGGAACAGCCCCAGCAACACCTGTACCTCCTCTCTGTACCACCCCAGCAGATCCATCAGCAGCAAAGTCGCATACCCTTCAATACTCTGCTCCAGAGCCTCTAGGAACAGCTCTCCTGCTCGTTTTAGCCTCTGGTCACTGGGCCACAGGTGCATGGGCGCCTTGATCTTCTTCTCCACGATGTCGACGAAGCCTGCTGCTCTGAGATTATCCCGCATCGTGTGTCCTTTGCAAACGGCGAATGAACGGCCCATTTTCTCACCGGCGGTGTAGAATGTATCAGCCCAGGTGTTGAAGACGTGGTCGGGGGGTAACTTGACGTGATCGGATTGGAGCTTGACGTCCATTTCTAGATCTTGGATCCAGCCTCCTGGTGCAAGGTGCGTATATGCCTTGCTGTATAGGTCGACCCAGTCGGGAACACTGCCATACATGGCGCGGATGTGAATAAAGTCGAAGTGGTTTTCAGGCCACGTCCAGTCGAGAAGACAATCTTCAATGACGAACTTGACGTTTGGAGGAACCACGACTGGTTGAATAGGACTCAGATCTGTGCCTGTGACTTCAGCCTCTGGGTATTCATCTCCAAAGTCAATCGCCCAAATCCCCGTCCCCGTACCGATATCCAACACACGTTTTGGTGCTTCTATAGGTGCAAGAAACAGTTTCTCATCGAGAGTGAAGAACAGTCCGACATGCGTGAGGTCCAGACCATGATTCTGCTGCGCATCATTGGGCGCCCAATACTCTGTCGACTGAATATTCTCATACGTCCTCCCATAGCGATTTCGGTACGCAAGAATGCTGCTTGTTATCGATACCGTCGACATATCACCAGAAATCGACTCGCCATCCTCGTCGTCGATCAGATCAGCGAGAATCTGCTCGTTTGGTTCAGTTTCCGGCGACGCGGACTCGGAATACACGACAGGTGGTCCCATTGTGTTGGTGGCTTGCTCAATGCACGTTCTTCCCCTGCCAACAAATTGACTTGGAGTTAGATTACAGGAAGAAGAGGAAGAAAAATGACGCATTCTTCAGCTGTTGGGCGCTGTTTGGTCTTTTTACGTATCATGCATCGATTACCGAACTACAGTAATGATCTTCTATGCCCTGCAGGGATCTAAGTCTGAGACAAAAATGATGTGTCTCATTTTCAGAAGCACGATGAAGTGTTCGCCGTAAGGATCCATCCGTCCATCAACACAAACACGCATATGTATAGCTGAGATAAGTAATCTTTATCTGTAAGGTACAGTATATTATTGATGTCATGTAGTGACGCAAGCTGGGTTAATAGGTATTCGCATCACGGATCGAGGACTGCTTCTTCATTACTCTGAATCATTTTGCAGGCGATCAATGAGGGCCAAAAACGGGGGCCCGGGACAAAGGCTTAGCTGAAAAGCCTCCAAAAGCAATATTGTCATGCGGCAGTCTCAGGTTTCTTCCAATCTTTGTGAATAGCCTGAGCCACTCCAATCAGATGGAGGAAGTGCATAAGCGGTGCATAAGCCACACATCACCAAGAAAGCTCACGATGCACTGCAGCAATGTGCAGAGCTGGAGTCAAGCTCCTGTACGTGCGGACCAATTGCATAGAGGTAGAAGAGTCGTAGGCTGGCGGGAGTAAGCTGCCATGAGCAAGTTTGTTGAGCCAAATGCTTGTCTTTGATACATTCCATTGATCTCGTGCATCAATAGTCTCGACTAGTGAGTTTAGTTCAAAGTAATCGGTGTTATAACAATTGCAACAATGACAAAAGCCCGCGGGTTTATATAGGCTATATCGAACCTTGACCTATAGAGCTTGGCTAGCACTAAGCCCAAGACATTCGGAGCTGAGCTCCGGTGTCTCACCCCCGTACCGGGCCCGTGAGAATTTCCTATTTGGGCAATGCACTCAATACTTCCGCTACTTCATCACCAACTTGGGTCTTCAACATCAAACTTCACTTAAAAGGACGAAATGATTCCTCAAATATCTCACATTGAATACCCCCACAGGAGGCTACCCATAAGTAAATATCTACATCAAATGAATAATATATACCCCCTCCAAGAAAACAAACAAAATCCCCAGTAAGCTAATACACACACATCACCACTTACACTCAAGCAGTGCAAGCAGGAGCGTCAGCAGTGACGGTGACGTAGTGGGTCTCAGCAGCAGAAACAATAACATATGAAGTCACGATAGTGTTGCTACCGGCATTGTTGTTGCTGCCGGCATTGCCATAGTTGTTGTTGCTGCTACCAGCGTTGTTGTTGTTGGAGCCCTTGGAGCCGGAACCAGTCTTGTCAGATGAGCTCTGTCCAGTGGGCTTGGGCACGGGGTAAGCGTTGTCCTTAGTCTTAGTAACTGCGGCGGTGTTAGCGGCTGCGGAGATTCCTTGGGCCGTGTTGCTGGGTGTCGCGGGTTGGGTGTCGTACTCATCACCATCGTCGGCAGGGCACTCCTCATCATCATCACCGGTCTCGGGCTCCTCATCCTCGTCGCAGTCCTCGTCATCGCCAGTCTCAGCGGCAGCAGAGGGAGTGGGCTCGTCCTCGTCGTCACAGTCCTCATCGTCACCCTCGTCAACGGGCTCCTCGTCGTCGCAGTCCTCGTCGTCGCTGGCATCGGGGGCAGTGGCAGTGGGCTCGGGAACGGCGGTGGTCACGCTCTCGAAGATGGGGCCGAGGGCGGAAGAAGTAACAGCGACGGCCTCAAGGGTGGTAGCACTGGGCTTCTCAGCGGCAGGGGCGGAGGTAGCGACGGGGGCAGCAGAGGCAGCGGAAGAAGGCTTGGTGGAACCAGAGCCGGAACCAGAGCCAGAGCCAGCGCCGACGACAAAGTCAACGCAAGACTCGTAGGTCTGGTCGATATCAGGAGCATCCCAGAACCACTGGAGAACACAGTCACCAGCCTTGGTGCACTCACCACCCAAGCTCTCGGGAAGAGTGACGCTGAAGGCAGTGTTGTTGGGGTTGAGACCAGCGTTGGCAGCATAGTTCTCAAACTCGATAAGAGGCTCTCCGATCATCTTATCAGTGGAGGTCTTGACAACGGAGACGTTGGCATAACCGGTGTGGGGAGCAGCGATGTTGACGTCAAAGTCAATCTTCTCGCCGAGCTTGTAGCTCTGGACATTGTCCTTGTTGTCGTCGAACTGGAAGCCCTTGCACAGCCAGAGGTTGCACTCCTTGGCGTCGAAGTTTGATCCGACGACCTGCTTGATGCCCTGGACGTTGCCGTTGATGTCGGCCTCCTGCTGGTAGAAGGGCTGCTCGCCACAGGCAGCCTTGAAGGCGTTGCCGGGCTTGCGGGGGGGAGGAGACTTGACGAAGCCGTGGGCGGCGACGAGGGGGAGAAGAGTAAGAAGGGCGGCGGCGTTCTTCATTTTGACGGTAGATATAAAAGTCTTGGGTAGTTTTTGTGTGAATTGATTCGTGAGAGTCTCTAGGACCAGATGTAAAGGTTGTAAAGAGTGGGTTTTGTGAATTGAACGGCCGTCAAGGCTCTGAACGAAAGTGAATGATTGGAATGAAAGTGAAGTACAAAAAAGTACAAGAAAAAAAGAATGGCGAATCTGGTCCTTCGAGGTCCGTGAAAGAATAGAGGTTGAGGAGAGAGAGAAGGGAGCAAAAATGAGGGTTGATCAAGTTGGATATATAGTCGAGACACTGCTCGGCGGATGACTTCTACACAGGGTTTAGCGATGGGGATCTGATACTCGGCGTCTGAGGCGAGGCGGTGGACCGTGGGCCTCGCTCCGTAGTCAATCTCGTTGACGTTGGTGATCCTTGTCGTTGGGTGTAAGTCAGACGGCGAGTTGATGCTGGGGTTTAGACTACAAGCGCCGGTCTAGAAGCAAGCAGATCATGTTACTCTATGACCATATTCTTAATATCATTCTCCAATCTATTACTATCACTTATACCAAGTCTATGTCTACCTCACTATGATTATCTGTTCATACAAACATGTTTAGTTTCCCATCAAAACATGTCACTCATCCCGTTTCGTCCCTCTCCAAACCAAACACTCAACATCTCGTCTCCCTTTCTAAGCGATCAGTCAGTCAGTCCCCCCATGTCTTACACCGTCGCCAAGGCCCGACTTCACCGGAATTCGAATCTGCCAAAAAGACAATTCGTCCGGCCTATTCAACCGCTCTCAGGTCTTCCCCACTGTATCTATCAACCCCTTGTCAGGGCCTGTTTGGAGCCAGCGCAAGGGGCGCTAAGATCATTGGTGGAACATCCAACGGCTGTGTTTGAGCCTCAAGATGGAATCATAGAAAATGTCTTGAGCCGCCGAGTTTGATTAGAGAGATTCTTCCGGGGACTTCGCTTATTCAGGATGACCACTTGCTCCCATCTTCGCACATCACCAACACAGTATTCTCAGGATGTAGACGATCAATTACTTCTCTTGTATACAGATAATTCGCATTCGATACGACCCGTTTAGTGGCTTCAGCACTAACAACAAGCATAACATCATCGCCAAAGCATAACGAACCCCTGCAAAGTGGACCAGCCCAGCCCTGTATTCCCCCCTCCAAACAAACGTCTCTCATCCACGGAAAAACTCTCCCCCAAAAACTTCGAAACCCGTCTCCGACAAACACCAACTCCCTTGTTTCAGGATGACATGCGGCCAAGGAACGCCCGCCTATGCATAATTATAAACATCCATCGTCTATTCTATTCTTCCGCCTACGATTAATTAGTCCTTTGACAAGCCGGAATTCGGCAGACAGGCCTTGCTCCTCGGCTGGACGAGTATTTTCGGATTCAGGGGCATGTCACTGCGGAATAGTGTAGATGAACTCTCAATCAACTCGAGACGATTTTAATAGATCTTTTCGTCAATTCATCAGTTTTGCAAACTCATTAATGCTTCTCCCATCACGGCATTGCAGTTCATCCCTTCCCCCACGTGGTGAAACATGCAGCCAAACACTATTTCATTTTCCATCCCAACATATGATCCGATTAACCTAACAAACAAGACAACATATTCCTGAGATCATAAATCTAGATACAAATTTTGTTTCACGCCATGCATAAACATTCTAAATCGGCTCATCGCGAGGCTCAATAAGAACCTCGTTAACAGCAACATGCGGCGGTTGACACACAGCGTACACAATAGCGCTAGCTACCTCTTCAGGCTTAAGGACCTCGGCACCCGTAGGCTCACCGTACTTCTTCAGCGCCTCCTGGTCCGTCGACATGCCCAGCAGGTCCGTCGCCACATTTCCGGGCTGCACGGCCGTGACCCGTAGACCAGAGCCTGCTGTCTCCAGGCGCAGGGCCTGGAGCGTCGCTTCGACGAAGAATTTACTCGCAGAGTAGACGCCCAGACCCGGGAAGACCTTGCGACCTGCGTCGGAGGAGATGGCCACAATGTGGCCTGCGCCTCGGGATAGCATGCCTGGGACTGTGGATGACAGGCAGTGCAGAAGACCCTTGCAGTTGACGTCGACAGTGCGCTCCCACTCGTCGGTCTGGTTATTCGCCATCATGGTGAAGTACATGACTCCCGCGCAACTAACAAGGATATCGACCGGTCCCAGCTGTTCCGTAGCTTCTTTCATGAGAGACTCCACCTGAGCTTTATTCGTGACATCCGTCTTGTGAATAAGAACCTTGCCGCCGTAGACGCTGATCTTCTTCTTGACGCCTTCAAGAGCTTCAGTGCGACGAGCGGCGACTGCAACGTGTGCGCCTTCTTTGGCGAGACCAGCTGCGACTGCGGCGCCGATTCCAGAAGATGCGCCTGTTACGACGGCGACTTTACCTGCAAGACGGCCCTTGCGGCACTTCTTGGCGACGCCGTTGACTTGTTCGCGACGGGGAGGGCGAGAGAGCCAACCGCGGGCATAAAAGTGCCGCATGTAGATCTCGAGAAGACCATCGTTCATCTTGGGGCGGGGGACGTCGTACTTGTCGAGTGTGGGCTGTGTCTTGCCGTCTTTGAGAACGATGACTGACTTGAGGACTTCGACGCTGGGCATACCACCGCGGAGAATGTCGACTGTGAAAGGATCGTCGCCGGTCTTTCTGTTACCGCGCTTCTCCCACCATAGAGCAACCCAGTCGTCCCATGGTAGAGTCTCAGTGGGGTAGCCCAGCTTGGCTAGGGATGCAAATAACTCTCCAGAGGGAACGGGAGCAGGGTCGCCGAGATGGTACATGGTCTGCTCGGTGTCGTTGGTGTGGTTTGCGAGGGTGACGATGGCGTCGCTGACAAAGTCCACGGGGGTCATTTCGATATACCAGCCCTCAACATCAGGCGCGCGACCAAGTTGGAGGGACTCGACGAGAATGGCGTTGATCAAATCCCAGGCGTTGGTTGAGCCAGAGACACTGTGGCCAGAGATAGTTCCAGGGCGGTATACACGCACGGGAATACCACGACGGCTCGCCTCGTTGACAAGCTTCTCAGCAACCCACTTGGTCTGGCCATATCCATCCAGCAGCTTAGTAGGAACATCATCAACATCGATGACAGTGTCCTCACACCAACCAGTATGCGAAGGTGGAAGCACGCCATTGGTCGAAACGTGGTGAACAGTTGCGCCGCTACGGCCAGCCAGACGAAGAATCTCGCGCGTGCCCATAACATTAGCGTTTCGCAGCGCAGCGTAAGGATAGACAAGGTTAACGGTAGCAGCAGCGTGAACAATGACCTGTACACGAGTAGCCAGCTCATCAAAGACATCGGGGGCGAGACCGAGACGCTTTCGGGTAAGTGTACCAGGCAGGATCTCAATGCGCTCCAGGAGATAATCCTCCCAGAGTCCGAGATCGATCAAGTTCTTTCGGATACGTGCCATACCAGCGGGTGCACAATCCTCAACAGGTTCAGGGAATCGCACGAGACAGATGATCTGCGCGTCTGTAGAATCGACCAAGTTCTTGAGGAGGAAAGCACCCAGGTACCCAGTAACACCAGTGAGGAGAATAGTCTCAGCATCTCTGAGCGCGCGCATAGGAGTGCCATTACCCTGAATATCCTCAGGGAGTACAGAGTCTGCGCGAAGAACAGCGGGGAGGTCAGCCTGTACTGCAGCAGTGTGGCCGTCACGAGCAGCCTTGATAGCTAAAACATGTCCCTCGAGAGTCGGTGTTCCAGCAAGAGGAGCCAGAGGAACAGGAAAACCAAAAGTCTTGGTAAGGCGGCCAGCAAGGTCAGCGAGAGCGAGCGAGTGACCACCTAGGTCGAAAAAGTCGTGCTTCGGTGTGATGACGCTAGCGGGCATGTTAAGCGACGCAGCCCATAACTGAATGACAGTCTCGGTCTTGACCTTGATGTTATGCTCCTTCTTTTTCTCAACAGGTCTCGGTGATCTCGGAGATGGTGGTGCAGGCAGAGCCTTGAGATCGACCTTTCCAGAAACGCCATGTGTAGGGAGCTCTTCTAGCTCAACCCAGACTGAGGGAATCATGTAGTGGGCGAGATGGTCGGTGAGAGCACGTCGGGCGACGGGGCTGTAGCCATATTCGTCGACGAGAGGAATGGTTCGATCTCTAGTCTCACCCTTCTCACGAACGATGTAAGCAACAATCTGTCTCTCCAGACCTTCACCGTGAGCCACGACTGCACAGTCACGAACGGCCAGATGCTTTCGGATGGCGCTCTCGACGGCTCCGGGCTGGACAGTGTAGCCACGAGTCTTAATCATGCCGCCGACTCGGCCGGTAATCTCCAAGAGCCCATTAGGAAGGATGCGGGCCAAATCGCCAGTTCGGTACATTCGCGCGTCCTTAACTCCAGCGAAAGGATCCGGTTGGAACGCCTTGGCTGTTGTTTCAGGCAGGTTGAGGTATCCTCGTGCTAAAAGCTTACCACCAACGTAGAGCTCGCCGCTATCACCTTGGTTGACTCTGTTGCCAGCCTCGTCCAGAACATAGGTGTGCTCAGGGTCCGTTGGAGGACCAACAGGGCACACTCGTGTGTCGAAGTCGACAAAGGTTCTGATATCTCCAACAGCAGTCTCGTGAGTCTCGGAAGCACTATAGACGTTGAGAAGACGTGTATCAGGAAGAGCATCCATCGCACGGCGCACAAGATCCGTAGTGACAACCTCACCATTCAACCACAGCGAGCGAAGATGAGGCAATCGCTCGCCCAGCTTAGGATGCCGGGACAGAACTGTCGCCAAAAGTGTAGGAGTCATGAGGGTATCGGTAATTCGCCATTGTGAGAGAAGCTCGACAAGAGCAAGTGGGTCGTAGCTGGCGTGGTCGGGAATAGCGACAGTTGTAGCACCTCGAATCAGAGGTCGAAGCATCTCCCAGATGAAGAACACATTACATGCCACCCTATCGCCGGGTTTGAGATCGCTGACAGCAAATCTCAGATCGTAGGAGCGAACCGCTGCCCTGTGGGGATTCATAATACCCTTGGGCTTTCCCGTCGTACCAGAAGAGTACGACACAAACAGCAAACGCTCCACATCATCATCCTCTGGCAGCGATCTCCTCTCATCCAGATGAGGCGAGATCTCTCCCCTGGCCAACTTGTCGGGACTATCGACAACAATAACCGGGGTTTCAGAGGTGAGGTTGCCCGAGTACTCGGACTGAGTGAGGATGACAGTTGGCTTCGCATCCTCGATGACATCTCGCAAGAGGCCAGCAGGGTACGCAACCTCAAGCACCAAGAACGCACCGCCGGCTCTGAGGGTAGCGAGGGCGGCGATAACGTAGTCTGCGCTTCTGCCCATGAGGACACCGACGAGATCATCGCGGCCAACACCGTAGTCACGCAATCGCTCGGCTAGGGCCCATGTTTCTCTGTCGAGCTCTGCGTATGTGAGGGATCTCTTCTCATCTTCGAGGGCCACTGCGTCTGGAGTAGCTTGGGCCTGCTGCTCAAAGAGAGCAGCGAGATCCTTGTTGACATCGATAATTGACATGATGCCAGGTGAGATTATGTGATTGTGAATGGGAGGAAGGAGAGAATGAGGTAGGTAGGTAGTTGTGCTGGAGGTAGAGATGAGATGAAGCGGTGGGTGGGTCACGCGACCACTGGGCTAAAAGAGATGTCGGTGACGGGTCCGGTAATGTCTGTCTGTCTATCCCCAACAATTGGCCTCCCACGTACGTACACTGCAGTTCGTATAGTACGGAGTTGATGATAACCTTTTCTGGGGGCTCGGTAACGTTAGTCTGTGATCCCCAAGCGAGGTGTCATTGCTATCTCTTACTCTCACTCTTGTAACAGTCGACACTTTTCAAGCTGCCATATCCCAATGTTTGTGGGGTTGAAAGAGGCCAGCAAAGATAACACCCAGCTGTTGTGCTACAACACCGGTCAAGGTCAATTGAAGATAAGAATACAGAATAAAGATACAGAAGTATCACCAAGTCGCTAGATTTTTTAAAAAAGAAGCCACTTGGAAGCAAGGAGTACTTGACATTTTATTCACAACGCGGAGTACCAGCGCCTCAATCGCTGAATGTCAGGGCGGGTGCCAATTGACATGGCCCCCCCACGTAGCCCATGATTGGACTGCCCTAAAGACATTTCAGGCCTAGCTGCCCGCCAATTTTGGGACCTGGAGGGGGAGGGGGGACTCCATCGTGTCCTGGAGAAGGCATTGATGGAGGGGAATAGAAGCATGTCTTTGGCTCTCTCGTATTCTCTTTCAATTCATGGTCCTGTTAACATTGCGATGTTCAATTTCTGAAACATAATCTTTGAGCGGTTTGATCTCCTGTAGGGAAGAAGCAGGGTACTTCTCAACGAAACCAAACATTTGGGCCACTTTCACGTGCTAGAAACATCCTTTACAGCACCCCTGCTTCTGTCTCGTAGCGCTAATCGGAACTCCCCTAGCGACGTTACAGGGTAATCTTGAATTTGTTTTCGCCCATCACTCGAAGGTATGTTCAACATCAACTTGGCCAATCGATACAGAGTTTATGTTTCCGTTACGGACTCAATTTGATAAAGCATTGCTGAAGAAATGGGGTGAACAGTCTACAGTCATACGTGATACTTCATGTCAGTTCAGCATGGTTATACACAACTTGTTAATCCCAGCACCTCGACCTGGATCTTCTCTCCAGAAGCAAGTCACACGCATATCAACTGCGGGATTATTCGAGAGTTCGTACTATTCAAGCTACTCGTCACACGAGACACACCAAATTAGCACGTTGACGGTTCGGATCTCGCAGGGCAGAACTGTTCTCCCCGTTTTCCCTCCACTGATATCATCACCTATCACCAATATCGCCTCTTGTCCTATTATCTGACCGAGCTGGCAACGTGTCACCACCCTCCTTTTGCCAACTTTTCCAACTCTGGACCCCCAAGAACCGGAGTACTTTACCCTCAGAAGCCTGTCACATCGCGATCCTCCCCGTCGTGCGCAGCCCTGATTGGCGCCGACGACCCGAAGCAGAGGGGTCGGACCATCGCCACTATTTGTCGAGCATTACCGCTTTCACACTCGTGCATGACGCTCGGGGAGTCTATTTTCTTGGAGGCCCGGCGAATCAGGGTGTTTGGGATGAGCTTGTTTGAGGCAGGGGATGTGACTTGAATTTTCTTGCCCTGGAAGAGTCAAATGATGAGAGAGTTTGAGATTTGGTGGTGAATCGGACGTGTAAGACATGCGCTCACTGCTACGAGTTTTCTCAAGAAGAACAGTTATTAGTTGTATTCTTTGTATTGAGACAATCGCCATGGAAAAGCTGAAAGATGGCTGGAGAGGTGGGCTGTAGCGTGGGGTGGCCTCCATCTCCATCTCCATCTTTGGATGCGCAACATCAAAAGAAGCTTAAGGCGAGGCTTGGCACGAAGAACGTCAGCAACTTTGCTCGCCTATAGCCGCCAAGCCAATCGCGTCCGCTGAACCGCAGAGCATTTGATCTGCAGTCAATGGGTTGTCCTCGGGGAGATATAATCGTTGCCGGAGCGGATCGATAAAGACTCATAGGAATTCTGTTCAGTGTGTGCGACTCCCAGACTAAATCAAGATATGAACCAAGATTGAGCAGTGGACAGTACATAGTTGAGGGTCTTTGTGGTAGAATGAGCGTTGAATGGCCTCAAGATAGGGTATTAGAATAAAATCTGGGCAAAAGATATCTTAAACCTGGTCTAAATTTAAATCATTTCATTATTTAGGATCAAGGTCTCGAGTTTTCTTTCCTCCCCTACAATAGGCGTAGGCCAAGATTTTCTTCGTCGTTGGCTATCTCAATGTTCAAGAACAGCAATCTGAAACTTCAACCATCAGACCACAGAAAAACGGCGACATCACGATTGAACCGTTAATAAATAACCATAACAGACGGAATCCCATTTAATACATCCTATAAATAAAATAGCATGATTCTTCTTCATCACTTTATCCGGTCCCACCAAAGCTTGTCAAACGATAAGATAGAGGGACCCGCCTTGACAACGCCCTTTGCCATGTCTTGTCATTGTCAACTGGGTCCCATCGTGTCAAGGCACAACGCCCTTTGCCATGTCTTGACATGCTGCTAATAAAAAATTACCAAACAATTTGATGCTTTTACCGAAAAAAGAGTGCCATTCCGTGGTCTCATGCCACCGCTTGACGTAAAATAAATTCATGCTTCAACAATAAAGCCATCGATGCCCCCCCGACCTTTGATGTCCGTTTTATCCTAATATCCTTCCCCTGGCTTCGGATCATTGATTCTACAGTGCTACACATTCGATTTCACAGACGAGACTTGAGTATTCAGGGTATCATATCTCTCATTACAACTATTAACAGCTATACGCCAAAAAAGAACATGAAACTTTTGCTACTTTTCCAACACCCAAAACTCCGAATCGAAACTCGTTTACATTTCCTCTCGTCCCTTGCTCAGATCGACCTCAGCCAGAGGAACAACCTTGGTTCGGCAGATAAGCTTGTGGCCAACATACAACGCGGCGAAAAGCATCAAGCTGATGTAGTTGGAGAAGAAATCGGCTACGCTCCAATCGATGAAGGCGGTGAAACCACAAGTGATGGTGATCAAGCTCACGAAGAAAGCGCCATAGTAGGAGAGGTAAGGCTGGAGAGGAGCGAGGTATGGAAGCTCGGAGCGGGGAATTCCCTGCACGCGCATGATCTTCTGGAAGCGGATATGGCAGACATTGATCAGGACCCAGGTGATGAAGCACGAGGTGGAACTGACGTTGAGAAGCCAGTTGAACACCTCCGCTCCGCTGGAGGAAAGGTTGATGTAGGCGATAAGACCCATGACGGAGCATGAAGCCACGGCAAAGTAGGGAGTTCCATACTTGTTGGTGCGCTTCATGAAAGCGGGCGCAAGACCATCCTCAGCGAGCGCGACCATGATACGGCTACTAGAGTAGACGTTTGAGTTGGCAGCTGTGAGAATGGCAGAGAGAAGAACGGCGTTGATGATGTCAGGAAGAACCTTGACACCAGCGCGGGTGGCGACGACGACGAGAGGTGAAGCAGAAGCATCCTGAGCACCAGAGTCAAGTCGGGGGTCGTTGAAGGGAACGTTGATTCCGACAAAGAATACGGTCGCCATGAACAAGCTGAAGATTCCCCAGAAAGTCCAGCGGATAGCCTGGGGAATGGCCTTGCGGGGGTTGGCAGTCTCACCGGCGCCGACACCGACGAGCTCGGTGCCCTGGTAGGAGAAACCAGCAGTGACGAGGACAGCCCAGAAACCGACGAAGCGGCCGGTGGCGCCGTCAATGTCCATGTAGGTGTTTGTGACGCCGGGATCCTTCCAGTACTTGAAGCCAATGTAGCCCTCCTCGCCAACACCAGCGTTTACGCAGATGGAGAAGATGATGAAGCCAATAATGGTGACGACCTTGATCATGGAGAACCACATCTCAATCTCTCCAAAGATCCTCACGGGGACAAAGTTCAACGCCGTAAACAACGCCCAGAAAACACTAATCCAGATGGCAATGCTAAGATCCGAGTCCCAATACTGGATGATGATTCCCGCGGCCACAAGCTCCAGCGCAAAAGTGATAGACCAGCTAAACCAGTACAGCCAGCCCATGGCGAAGCCCAGCGTGGGATCGACGAAGCGAGCGGCGTACGAGGTGAAGGAACCAGTGATGGGGATGTACGCTGCCATCTCACCCAGGCTGACCATGACGGAGTAGACGACGGAGCCCATGAAGGCGAATGCGACGAGGAGCGACACGGGGCCAGCCTTTACGAGGGCAGGGCCTACACCGAGGAAGAGACCTGTTCCAATGGTGCCGCCGATGGCGATGAACTGCAGGTGACGCGAGCTCATGGCCCTGTCGAGGCCAGCCTCGCCGGTCTCGACATCTTCCTTGGAGGGGGTCTTCTTCTCGTTGCTGACACGAGGGGACTTTTCGTCCGCTGAGGAAGAATCCATGAGCATGATGGCTGTATCACTGTCTTGCAATGAAGTTGTCGATAATGCAACACACACAATTAACGAGGAGAAGACAGGATGACTCGCTTGAAAGAAGGGAGAAGAGACGAGCCCGAGTGGTAAGATGAGATGAGTAGAGAGAGACCGAGACCAAGTGGGCTGGCAATGACTCTGTTATGTAAAAAAATGAAATGTCAACGGGGATGGGTATATCAATCGGGAATGAATGGGCCCATTACGAAAATTTTCGATATCGGACCAGACCAAAACCTTGGTGCAGTAGGAATTGGTCTGTGTGAGTGGATGTAATCCATCTACATCCAGCGAGATTTGCTCTCGAGTATTTGCCTCTCGGTATGAGCGATCTCAGTGATCACCACAGCACAACACTTGTTCCAATTACCCGGTTTCCCCAGCTTCCTATTCCGATTGAATCACACTATACACCACAGCTACATAATACACATCATATTATACATACACAAGCAGTAGAGGAGACCTCCGTGTTACTGGGTTAATCACGTTGAATGTGAAATATCGCGAG